TTTATATCTGAAAGTGTATCTTAAGAGAAAATCACCTTTAAAGATTGTTACATAACATTTGCATTTCTTGTTACAGTCAAAGAATTCGAAAGATCCAACTGAAAGTAACCACGTGATGACATGAAAAAGAAATACAATTTGAAAGGCAATTTAACTTATTCTTCGTTGTTTGTAGTAATATTCAATATTCATTTTTAATATGATGTATGCAATTCTTGTAGAATGTGTGTTTAATAAAAGCTGCTTGTTATTTCCGACAGATTTCTGTTTACTTTTTTCTCTCTTCTCGTGGTAATTAACCGCTGAAATAGGGACGATGTGTTACATTCTATGCTTTCTGTTCTCCGCTCTCATAGGTTTTTTGGGGCAGGAAAAATTACAGAAATATTAGCATAATTGGTGTTTATTGAGGCAAAATGTGTGACAAAATTGATGCAGTGTTATCATAATCTTTTCGAGAAATAGAACTTACTGAATAGGAGTTGCGTTATCCTCACTTGGTGAAAAAGGGGACTTTCCTACGACTCAGACCCTCAACTCCCACGTGTTGAAGGGTTGAACAGTAAGGCATCCTGTCACTTTTTCGAGTTAATCGCCTGAAGGAGAACACCACTTGTGAAATCATACAGACAGCTTCAAAACAACTCATTGGAGGTTATGTAACAGAGAGCTGCAGCAGAGGAGAGGGGAATAATACCAAATTTCCACTCAAATTGTCGCGATTCCTGTGCACCAGATGTATTACATCTTGGGACAGTAAATATGCTTTTTGATTGGTTTATTTGACCGAGTTGTATAAAAACAATCCTTTGACGAAGCGGTTGCGTTATTTATATAGGCTACTTGTTTCGCGTGATTCTGTGAGCAACCAGTCATTCAAGCGTGCGGTTACGGACTATAGCATAATTTGAATAGGACACGGGCTAATTACTGGTGTCTCTTACTTTGTCAAAACAACATTTTTTCAACGATGTCTTCATTGATTTTACATCGAATATCTCGTCAAGTTATAGAATGTGGGAAACGATCGTACAGATTAGAACCCACAATAGCAAAATTTAGTTTTTCTCAAACTGGTACTCACACAACTCAGGTTCAAGCAAGGACAGAAGTTACCTCGGCAAATCGAGAAGTAATATTCTCTGAAGGGAATGGAAAGAGCGTAACAGACTCTGAACTAACTTTCGAGTGGAGTCAGCTTCAGACTGCCTACCAATCTAAACGGAATGAGGAGATTTTACGCGCAATGTTTGTACTGAAGATATGTTCCTACGACACTTTCGTCCGCAACAGTATGCAGGTAAGTTCGATTCAATACTTCAACTCGAGAGACAGTCGTAAGATTCTTCGAAGTATGTTCGCTTAATCGAGCAACACTCGACGAAAACACGGTCATCGGGAAAAAAAATATAAATGGTTATAAAAGAACGTGGAAGAGGGATCGGTACTATTGTGTTATCTCGATTCGATTTCAAATTTTGGGGTGAAATATTGAGCACGTCTGAGCACATTTGCATAACCAGTTACTGAAAATTTATCGTTTTGATTCGCGACAAAATTATCAAGATCTACTCGGTGCTAATATCGTTTCTGGTCAAAGCAATAAGATTTTCATGCAAAGGACATTGGTTCGATATTAAAGGTGTCTTGACTGCAGCATTTTCAACGTGAGTGTCCAAGGTCGGCAGACGAAATAGGCGGCTTGACCCGTAGGTCGTGATGGGTCTCCCCCAGAAAAACGTTAATTTTTTATTTATTTTTTTTAATAAAGCGAACTAATTCTGATGAATTCCATGTGATATTTCCTCGGGGAAATCTTACAGCCTAATTACACGCTAAGTAATATTTAGATCACGAAATAACTCGAGTAGATAACGTAACTTGGCCACCGTTAAGAGATTCTGAAGCAGACGTTTCGAGCGTTAGCCCATCGCCAATCACTCTAACGGAGGGCTTACGCTTCAAACGGCAGATTCATAAACTCTTTATGATGGTCAATTTACATCACCAACTCAGCTGTGATGCACCCCATCGACTCAGCACCACATTTTCTTCGGGAACTTTACACCCTCGTTTTCAATATTCAGATCACTTTGTTAGCATCATGGCTGTCATTATAATACGTTTTCAAGGCACTAACGTTACGAAAGGTCGCCTACTGAAACCTTTGAGTTCAAAAGAGGATTTTGACGAAGCAATTAGAGACAGTGCTTCGCATTCGGATAAGAATGAGGACGACTTTATTTAGTGTCTGCATTTGTATCACCTTGTGTTTCTCTGGAGCCACTGAACACACCAGCAAATAGATTAGACGGACCATAAACGGGCGAGACAAAGTTAAATTGGCTCTTTACAAGAAGAGTTAACCACTGAAAAAGTGACAAACAAATGTCAGTAGACCGTTCGACGATTCATTCCAACTCTTGACAAGGAATAGTTACCGTAAAGCCATCGACACTAAGGAGCTCCGTAGAATTAGTAAAATCAGTCTCGTTGTATTTCCACAATCCGATCCAAGTCATAAGTTGAAATAATCGTGAAAGAGTCGTGGCGGAGAGGAATTCAGTTTGCAAGGGACCTTCAGACGAGACAGACAGCAGACAAGACGATAGCATCTTTCTTTACCCTGCAGTTTTCTTACATTTTTTAATAAACCTGTTAAATACCAGGTGAGAAAATCAGCTTAATATCATTTACAAGAGACCATGAGGTCCTGTCAATCCGCATAACTTTCTAATCAAGTTTCTTTAGCATTGTGCTTATTTATTTTCTTTCTCGGCCTTTCGTTTTGATTCTTGGTGAAAAGAAAACATTGGGGTGACACCGTTACGTGAATTTTGTAATGCGTGACGTGCTGCAAGTAAGGGAGAGTTCAGGAGGTCGTTCAGGCTATCAGTTTTTAAGATTATAAAACGCAAGATTTCTTTCGCGCGAAAGTTGATGAGGGCAAGTTATAAAACCATTGGTCCATGCTTTTAACTGTGCGTACATCGAGGAATGGATGCACCACTGTGATTCTCACGACTGACAAGCCCAGATGTTACGTCGTCAGTGGACTTTGAAATGGTTATAGCTATCCGTGACCATCCTGTTGCAACACGCCTCGAAACTGAGGTCACTTAGCTCTGAAATAATTGGCTCCGAAATAATTTTCTCGAAACGTCTTTTATAGGACACATTATCCGCAGACAGAGAATTCATTTCGTCCAAAGTTTTACGGTCGATCGTCGCCATGTAGTTCACCCTTCGCCACCTTCGGCTGCTGCCACGGGGACACAGTTTCCGACGAAGAAGTATGAGGGCCCCACTGAAAACCGCTGTGGCGAATTGGGTTCCCTCGTTAAATATTATTATTATTATTAT